ATTTTGTCTTTGTAGAGTTACTTTTTTTGAGTGACCATTGAACACCGAATTAAAAAATGTATGCCTATTTCGATCTGTCTGATAATATGTTTTTGTTTACAGTTTTACATAAATTATAGTTTTTGAAAATTTATTGGGGATTGTTGAAACCGCTGAAATTTATATAAGCAGAGTTCTTTATCGATAAAGTTAGATATTATTTTCTCGTTTAGAGCAAAGTATGAAGTGTTGTGCGCCGCTAAATTACCTTTTTATTAAATTTGTAATTATGTTATACATACCTATAGCGTAGGTGTAAATAACTTCATACCAGACTTTTTTTTTTTTAATTAAAAAGAAATCGTATTAATTCATTTTTAGTCATTAAGCTTGGTGTGTATGAGGTATGAAAACTTAACCATGAGTGTAGGCACTAACTAATATTAAAGTAGTTTGAAGAATAGTAAATCATTATGTTTTGTAATTTCATTACTATCTAATGAATTCAACTTTCTTTTAAAAATATTTTTTTATAAAATCCCCAAAATTAAATATTAATTAATTTTTTTTTTGTGGCCGTTGATAAAATAGATAAATAAGGAACATTTTTTTATTATAAAAACATATCCATGGTTATCCAGTAATTTTTATACATTGTAGCCTTTAGTTCATGTACACGTACAAATATACAATATATTATATTTATGTGTAAATAGTAAGTGGGAAAGTAGATATGGTGAATAAAGTATTACTTAACTGACGGCCGCACAGGGATGCATATTTCACTTGCATATATATATACTGTATACATATATATAAAATATTATGTGGCAAGTCATATCGTTGGTATTGTTTGTGGAAAGGTTCAGAACATATTGTAGTCGATACGCTGTCGAGTCGTTTAAAGGGTCTCGCTGCTCCAACAACAGTAGTAAAAATATATGTATAAGAAAAAAATATAATAATAATAAAACGGATACAGCCTACGCGATGTAAAAAAAACTATAATGTAACGATTAGTACTTGATGTACATATTTTACTGGAGTTACTTCTTGTTTAGTAGGCATTGAGAAAAGCTATTTAAATAAAAATTTGGTTCAACAACTTTTAGAAAATATTTACCAAGAGTATTATTCAATCTAACGTTCCATGGTGTAACGTAATATTTTTCTGTTTTAATATTATTTTCAATTTATATATTTGTATTAATTACTAACTTAATATAATTTCGATTTGACTTCGTGTGTTTAAGCGGATTAGGTGTTTAGTTTAATAAATAAATTTAAACAAATATATTGATTGATTTATAATTATTCTCCCATCGCCTCCAACGCAATCATTTTGTTAATCTTGGTTTTTTTCATTCATGTACAATATAATCTTTGTAAATTATTAACATATTTTTCCCACTCCCCTGATTAAGGTTCAGGGATGCTTATCTACACCAATAATTTGGCTGAGTGATTTTTCTTAATACAAATTGTTTATATTTTATACTTGTTATTAAAAATAGGAAATCATATTACAACTATATTATTATTAATTTTTAAAAACGTATTAAATTCGTGCATTTTTCTTTGTACGTATTGTATACATGTTATAAATGACATCAGGTTATTCATAGTATCTGGCCGCTAACATTTTAAGCTTGTGGTATATTAAATATCTCTTGTCTCGTGTTTTCCACTTGTCGTGGTCAACGTTCAAAGATGTCGTAACTGTTACCTATAGAGGTGTTAACAACATTTTGGATTGTATACATATATTTGTTGTGTTTAAACAACACCCTACTCCTTCGCGTGGACGATTAAAAGGCATCAAAACGACGTACATGCGTAATTATAGTCTCAACAGCCCTTTGCTGCTTTGCCAGCTATATATAACTGTACAGGCAGTAGACTACAGGCGGCGGGAATATAATGGACAGCAAACCGTTTGACATGGGTCTTGTCGGCAACTCGATTGGTTCCGCCACTGCCAGCGGCCGAAACCCCGCAGGCTCGTTGCTAGTTAGATAGGTAAGACGAGCAAGTAGAGCGTGCGATATTAAAATATACTTTATATCCTCGTGTTCCGTACCGTCTCTACTAATAATAATAGTAGTGTTGTCGATTTGAAATGCAAACAACAATAACGTACCGTTTACCGTGTACGGTTTAGCATAATTTTATTGAAGAACGCGGACGGACGTCCCCGCTGCCGCCATACCCATACACGCTGTCTAATATAATAATAATAATAATAATAATGTAGTATAATATTTGTAATAATGTTAACACCGTTGTATGTCATGCAAATGAACCGTGCCGTCAAACGGTCTCTACCGATTATTGTACAAGACCCGGGCAAAAAGTAAACACTATTTTTATCTTTCGTTTTTATGGAATCTAAAATGATTTTAATGATAAACAAAATTATTTTATTCATAAAATTATATATTAAATATATACAAATTTATTGTTAAGGAAGATTTCTAAGAAGGAATCTCATAAAATCTCATAATTTAAATTGCTAATATTTAGTGGAATTGCCTTAAAATCACAAAACTGAGAATACTTGTCTACTAACATGTTATTTTAGTATTCGCATTTGTTTCTATAAAATATTTTAACAAAACGTGCTCTTTCTAGCGGCAAGTAAATTTAAATCAATCCCAAGTTGTATAATAGTACTTGTATGTTTATTGTTTTTTCTTGTCCCTCTTAACTAAATGGCGCTCTAGCCAAAATCTTATTTATTCCGTTGTCTGTTGTTGTCGTGTTCTCTGTAGCGTTCAATTAAGCCCGATTATAGTATTTTTCAATCCCCTTCCCCTAAGATCTTTTTTGGGATGTTAGGACTACTCTGTTATTATACACGATCGGTGGATTAATACATAATAATATTGTATAATGTTCTATACTGTTAATTTAATTACTATAATAAAAAAAAAAGTACTAAATATACCATGGGCGCTTAGGGGATTATTATTTATTTATAAAGCTATAGGTACGTGTGCAATTATTATTTGCATGTTATGCGATCGAAAAGAAAATCTCTATAATTACTTCAAGAATAATGATGTAAAATATAAACTATAATTCTTGTGGAGTTCAACTCAAGAACTACTATTCGCGTATATATACGGTTTTTGTACCTAAAGTATATTAATCTTAAATGAGACCTAAGTGTACAGGTTTTTATAAAAAAAATATTCAATTAATTATTAGCTGGAAATCTGGTAAACTATCATTTATAGTTAATACAAAAAAAAAATGATTCAATTATTTTTCTTTGGATTATTATGATTTGAAATAGAATATTAGTTTTGTTTAATTTTAAGAAGACAAGGGAAAAAAGTATTTTTTTTTTAACTTCATTGTACTCGTATATTTTTATATAATTCAATAGTCTGATAAAACAACAGTGATACAAGCTAAAAAGTCTTACCCATGAAAACAGTCTATTTATATAGTTATAAATGTCATTGTATACCGAACAGATAAAAGACTCTGTAAAACAATTTACTCTGATGAAAACTTTCTCGTAATTTTAACAATCTTAGTTATCAAACCGTGAACGTGGGCTGTTCATTTTATTATATCGTTTATTTTCTTAGCCTACTCTGTGACTTCAGAATAGACAATCTTTCCATCAATCTGTCCAATTACGATTTCAAACGAAATGGAAAGAGGCAACACGGGTGTTTGAGAAGAGTTTGAGAGATTAGTCATTAGTGTAGAGGTATAGGAAAAAGTAGACAAATAAAGAACTAGGCGAATAACACAAAAAAAGAGATGAAGATTTGTGCAGTAAATAAAAAAACGATGATAGATTTATATGGGATAAGAGAAGAAGAAGAAAACGATTCGGTTATTGAATCTCGTTCAACGCGACCATTTCTTTTAGGTACCAGTAAAATGTTGTTTATTCCTCTTGGGTCGTTTTTCGTTAGAGTGATAATATTATTGTTACAGATCCAATATTAATTAGCAATATACTATTTTTGACGTTTATTACTGCCATAGTATACCGGGAAACTTCTGTTGTATGAGTAATACGAGCCTATGGAAGAAGTGCGGATTTTGATGACGTATCAGGATTGTATAAATAATATGATTTGTCTCTAAGGAGACCGGGTTGTTATTTTTATTTTTTTTTCGAGTTAGTTCGCCGAAAAGGATTTTTTTTCCGTTCGACTTTGTTTCCGGCCGTTGATCTATGTACGCACTGTTACTACTCGACATGTATTATTATTTTTTCTCGGTCCTATCTTGGCGCTTGACGATACGGCGTGTAAAACTTTGGGGTATTTCGCGTAAATCGCATTTACGACCGAATGTTTTGGACAACATCCCACGCGGGTTAAGTTGTAACGGCTTCCACTGCTACATTCCTTCCTTGGCAAAATTCTCCAGGGACAATATCCTCTGGATTGCATTCCGTCCGTCCGGTCGCATGGGAAATTGCGGCGAGTTACATAAAAATCCTGCCTAATCGAACGCCACTCCTCTGTCCTAACAAACGGCCTACTTGTACGCGATATGGAAAAAAAATTGTTTTATTAAAACGGCTAGCCTATAATTTTGTCTGCCGCCAAACGATGGCGGCTACGGAGTTTTGTTTCAAAACAAAAACTACTATTTATATCATACCAAAGATAGATAAATGTTGTGTGCGCTCGTGTGTCTGTGCCGTTATGTATGTGTGCGCTTAGTATCCTTAAAAAGTGTCATTAAGATATTGTAGGCATGCCGCCGTATGTTTCGCTAACAAATAAAAATATTACTCCTACAAACGGGGCCTATACGCTATTAGAGGGGGCAAGGGGTGGAGTTTTGTTTAATTTATTTTTTCAAGCGCTTGCCTAGTAGATAAGTTTTGCAATAAATCTCGTTGAGAATAATATGGTTTTAGCTCAAAGGACAGCGCATGGACGACCAGTAATGATTTTCCATTTACAAATAATATCCATCCATATATGTTTATCATCTGACAAAACTTTTTCCGGCGCAATATTAAAAGTTTTTTTTTCTTGTAGTGTCATCCGAGAATTTAATAACGACGGCTACCATGGGTTGCTTTTGCACCAGTGCCCGGACACACCACTGCAAGATTGTGCTGTTGGACGACCAAGAACTCGTTCACGAAGTACAGGTACGTACAATTTTATTGACAATCTAAAATACAAATGCATACTAAGTAAGAACCCTCAAGAGACTTTATAATTATACATATTAAGTTTGCATAGCCTATTATGGCAACAATTACAAATAAAGGTTGGAATAATTAGAAGGGTGAGGTCGCCTTATCCCCTAAATTTATCACTGGTATATAGATCGTTGTTAGAATATGTTATAATATAATATAAATACATAATTTCCTTTATCAAATTTCTAATTTCAAATCAATATTGTAAATTTAAATCTAATACATAATAATATGTATTGGTCATTTATTCAAAATAATTGGTGTATTCGGCTTTATATAGATTTTTGAAAATATAATTGATATTTTGGACTGGATTTTCGCATTTGAAAGGGTCATTCCACTTGGATAATATGTCATATAATGTGTAGGTATGTAAAGACATTACATACGTGCAACGTTTACAAAGTATTAGTTGATATTGGGGTAACTTGCGTTGTTTTGACAAACTTACACGTACAATTTAAATATATAACCGTCAAATCACACTACCATTTTCAATATTTCTATACCCAAAAAGGTACATTTCTCTTGGTTATTTACTTAACAAACAATTTCCATAGGAAAATAGCATGTAATAATATGTTTTAACATTATAACGAAACATAGAATTTATTGTTTTCTATATGTGTATTGTGTTGTATTGAGGTGTTGCGCTCAAATTAAACTGTATTTATTTATGTCGTGAAAAAAATATCACTGGATTTTTTTTTTCCGGTTTAGTTCAAGATTAGTTTTGTTGCCGTTTTACCCCACACGCGGTTACAAACTATTCGGTGTTGTCATCTTCGAACACCGACGACCCTTCTCTTCCTCGTCATAACGCAATCTTCTTAGCGCCGTCGTTTAGTGTTGACTTTGTCACATGTCATTTACTTGGCCCTAGACCGATCTGGCGTCGTGCCAGGTCACCCGCAGCTATTGTGCGTATCAATTACTATGGACGCGATCGTGCGTTGGTCCAACACATTAAAATCGCGTCCTTCAATTAAGGTCGGATTCCGGTCTAGGGTTAGGCCGGTCGCCGTTATGAAAATGTAAAAGGTTAATTAAGAAAAGCGATGAAGTTTATACATTTCCCAGGAGAGACGTATGCAAGTTTCGAGCACGTTAAGTTCTTCACCTACAGCGCTTCTACTAAACAGGGTGGGCAGGTGGGAGGGGGGAGGTAGGTCATAAGGCCTGTAATGAGCTCGGGCAAAGTTTTACGGCCGCAACCGCTACTATACTCGCATTTTTTATCCGTTATTTCGGCGCAGCACGGTCGCTTTGTATTGTTATTGTTATCGTTTTTGTGTACACAATAAAGTGGCGAAATCGTAAATACTCGATAAAAAACGCAGTGTCGCGAAGGATTCACTTCTCTGGGTAAGGTTTTTTTTTATTTTACAGATTTAATTAACGGTAATAAAAATGTATACGCCGAGTTCGAGGCACTCGAAATCCGACGATACCGATCTCATCGAAATCGTATAATGCATCCTTCTCTCGGTTCTTGATTGATCTCCCCTTTCACTTGGCCGTCTCGCGTTTATACACCGTCGTTATTAAAATATTATGTACATAATATTATAAACCCAGGTCCCAGTACCCGCACGCAGGACGTGTAAGACACGGGCATAGTGTGAATTAGTGTTGCATCATTAACGTCATCCCGCGTTAATTTGATCGATTCCTACTTGGGCCGTGTATTAAGCCTTATACCCGAATTATCATAATACTCCCGTAATGAATTTACGCCTAAGATAATTGTTACTCGACGAAAACGATTTCCTGTGTGATAAATTAATACAATGTATTTATGTATAGGATAACAGTAAATTTATTCTCTCCTCCAGTGCCGCAACACAATTATTCATTTCAACTATGTTGTCGTCGATTGAATGCACATATTCGCTTGAAATAATTAAGAAATTAATCATGGGTTTTGCTATTAATTTGCGTTGTCTTATAAGATTTAAGATGCTTAACCACTATAACCCGTTACTCCTCGGAAACGTTTAGAATTCAATGCGGTTTCAATAGTATAGTCTTATTACACCAAGGTATTAATATATAATATATAGAATGAATATCTGTCATTTGACTTCTAATAAATATATGCAGCATTTGGCTACAGAGCAATGGAAATGTAGATATAATAATAATAATTTGTCATATGAGTATCTGTAAACAAATTAGGCAAATACAATTTTTTTAATAAGGATTTATACCATTTTATGTAACGTTTCGTCAGTTTTGTTAACCCTTTGAGATTTGTTTTCATTTTTTCAAATTATTTTAATGGTGGTTTCAATAAGATTCTATAATTCACAACCCCCAAAAAAATATTTAAAAGGTGGTTTCAATATAATACCACTATGACTTAAAGGGTTAAATCCCTATAGTTATAATAAACGCGAAAGCTTAATACTACTCGAGTCTTAATTGTAAATTAATTATTAATAACTTCACATGCTATGTATAACATGGATGATGTTTTTTTTATAAATAAATAATGTATAAAAATTACAATGAAATAATAATTATTTTTTTATGTATATTATTTTTTTAAATAAGGAAATTACGCGAGTACAAGACATTTTATAAATTAACTAACGTTTATATTACTTACATTAAAGTTTAATATATTTAAAATGAAGCTGTTAAATTATTTAATAAGTTAATGCGTTTATGTTGTACTATAATTTACTGAGCAAACAATTTGTTTGTTACTACTATAGTTCACCAATCATAAAACAGATGTAATATTGAAGTTGATGGCAAAATAGAAAAAAACGCAGCGAGTTGATTTGCGATCGCTTGACATTTAATTTAATTTGTTTTTCTCTTTAATCAGTCGTCGACGTTACGTTTTATATTTTGTCCATAACTTAGTTTTCACCATCTTGGTTTAACTTTGATCTTACAAAAGGGAAATAATATATCACCGTGGTACTTGGAAACTATATGTGCTCCAATTTCCTTGTCCAGAGTACTGAGATTACATACGCGTCATTTGGTTTAATTTAATAAAAAAACGGATACGCCGGAAGACCAGAAAAATCTTGAAATGTAGAATATCCACGTCTCGATTCAAAGCTGCAAAAACTTTCATAGATGTGTTTCGTCTATTCACTGAACCAAATATAAAATGTAAAATCAAAAATATAAATTTATACATTTTTAGCAATAACATTAATTAAAATAAGAAATATTTCAATAATTTAACAAAAAAACAATTAAAACAATAAATTCAATATTTACCATAAGAAATTGGCTTAGTACATTTTACAAAATTAAAATTAAATTTGAAAAACGAACAACATTTTATCATTTACCTATAAAATGCATTCTCTACCTACTATCAAAAGTACATAAAAAAAAAATCTTTGATTATTTAAGATTTTGTTAAATCAACTGCGAATTTTATTGGATGTACTTAGAAATTTAGCTCGGTACTGAGAGCATGAGACACCGAAGTTAAAAAAAATCATATTATATGATATTTGAATTTAAAATTTTCTATCACAAAATTATTCGTTTTATATGCTTTTTGAATAAATTCAATTTAAAAATTCTTAACTGACAACCTTATTTTAATATATATATACATATATGATATTTGTCGTAAAGTTCGGCACTTTTTTTTTTATGTTGAAGCGGTTTCAAATTGAATAACAAATAGTGTCAATCGAGTAATAAAAATGTTTGTTCAGTTTTCGGACATTTCTTTTCCGTTGTTTTTAACAGCAAGATATTACACTATCTAGATAATATACTCATTTTTTATACCCGGTCCCCGCAGCAATAGCACGCCGCCACTGTATATATATAAAACGCGATCGACGTTTAACCTGCAATCGGTTTTTTTTCCTTGTGGTTTCCACCTAGTTGTGTGCATACTGTATTCAATGTGTATACACGGCGTAGGCATTGCGTGAACACATAACGTTTCTCCGACGTTTTTACCACTTTGGGGGGGTTGCACGCGGTACTCGGCGAGGGGGCGGCTGAAGAGGGGAGGAGCGGGCGCAGTGGGTAGATTAAAGGGACGGCTATTAGATTTTATGACGGCGACCAAGACGTTTTATGCGCTACCGAAATTTGTTAGAGCCCGGGTCGAGATAAAGAAGAGAATGCGGCGGCGGCAACAAGGAGAGGAGACGTGCCGTACAAAACGCACTTAACTCCGTTTGCCGCCGTCGCCTGTTCGCCGCGTAAAAAGGTTTATCGCAAAACCCCGGACCGGCCAGCATCAGCAGCAGCAGCAGCAGCAGCTGCAGCGGTGTACAGCCAACGGTCTGCAAGAGATATGCCCTAGGACGGTTTTTTCATTCTTTCTCTTAACAGCCATATATGTATATATATATAATATATATATATATATATATACACGCGCTTACCCCTCGGTGTTTCACCCCCCCGCCACCGCCGTTGTCTGGGTCGCCGCTCGCCCTGTCCTATCTCGACACCGTTGTTTATGTGAAGCTTTTTCACATAATATTTACTTACCCCTTTACGACGTCCCGTTTTCTATACTCGACTCGACCGACGGTGTCTCCCATTGTGTGATTATGTTGTACAGCGCACAGCTCAAAATATGCGTGTTCATTATCTACAAACAAGTTTCGCCAAAGTTTTCGGTCGGCAAAGGTAAACGGCTACGAGGGAAGGGTACTTTTGTTGTTGATAAAAACGTTACTAACGACGTTATTCCGTTCGCACCGGAACCGATTTGTTGTCGGCGACTTGAGAAGTTCGGTGATATCTATTAAGATATCGCACGTTGCATGTATCGTTCCACTTTTGGCGTACAATAATCGAACCTGGCACCGAACTAGCATCCAACAGCTTCCTTTCTGTCGCCTTTGCTACGATAAGTTCCGGTTATCGTATATTTTTTCTTGGTATCATTACGATAATAATTCGAGTAGATGGATTATTATTTTTCAATATAGTGTTCAATA